GTTACCGACATCTGGTGAAAATTTCATGTCATTAGCACCTCTAGTAATATATTTACTGAGAAAAATGGTGACGTGTTCAATACTTATTTTACCCGCTGTTTGATGTCATACCTCAAACACAAGGAAGTGAGTTTCAGAAACAAWCACTGTTGATTCTTTACCTGTTAAAGTAAACAACTAAAACTGGTCACAATATAAAAGATATATACTGTATTTCAGTTAAGTCACAAAATTTCCTTCAAATGTATCAGAAATACCCACTTTTGATACCCAGTCCTATTCATCTTGGACCTCCTGGTTCCATCCTGGTAAAGAACAACACAGACGTTGCACCTCCTCAGGTCTGCAGACTGACTGCCGCATGAAGATTTGTGGGAAGGAGTGTCAAACAGGTGCTTCAGTGTTTTTTCATATTGATCTTGGTAGTTTCTAATAGTTAGGGGAAAGTGGTTTCTGGTTACCGAGACTAAAACAACTAAGTTTGGACTGCTTGGACAGTGTTCATTGTTTTGCAAAAGAGTGAAGAAAATGTCCAATGAGAAGTAGTTAACACATTTACAACAGGTGACTTCTGCTCTGCTGAAAAAGGGATGATGAAAACTGATCGGACCCCAAAGCAGCCAAGAAAAACTGTAAGAGTGCAGAAGAGACGGACGCTCTTGGGAGACGATGAGTTTCAAATTGAACGTCTGCCACTAAATGACCTTAAATGTAAGAAAAAAATGAACTTTTGTCATTTCATAAATCATCAAAATTAATGGTAATGATGTAAGTTTGGATTCAATCTGCAAGAGTTTCTGTAATAATGGTGTAGAATAGAAAAAAAGTCATCATTCAGTCAGATTTTTATGAATCAGGTAAAAATGGAGAATAATCCAAAAAGGAAAGGTTTTGATGTCCTCAGAGTCCCCCAGTCCTGATTCTCCAGGCTCCTGCATTGCTCTAGATATTTTCTTGCTTTAGTGCTTGAGTTACCTCCCCAGCATGTTTTCGAGTTCTGCAGATATCAGTTGAACCCAGGAACACATCTGAAACACACAGGACAGAGCGTACTGAGGACGAGCACTGGTAGAGCTGCACTGCTTGTTTAACCTGCTCTCTTAATGAACTCTTCCTGTTTCTCCTGAAGGTGTGTGAAACTCAACGGAGCCGTGTTGAAGATGGTGGACGATAAAACTCTTCCTGACCTCAGCGGAGTGCGTCTCCCTCCGGCTGAGCACCTGCAGCTTCCTGCGTACTCGCTGACATTCTTTGTCTTCTTGGACACCCATGCAGCGGCCTGTCGCTGACCCCGACACTGACCATTCAGATCCTCTCCATTCCTCACTGGACCGTGTCATGGAAGACTTTATACTGTTTGTTAGACATTGACAGTATTAGATTTCTTGAACAGGATTTCTTTTATCCAAATCTCAGGATGGGACTTTTATGACCTAAAGCATTTTTTTTTATATTAAAATGTATTTTATGTACTGTATTATTAGTCTGTATAAATCCTTCCTATGGTGCTTTTGGATCAAAAAATGGAATAATTGACTTCTGAATGAAAGAAGAGACTATAGAGCAGGGGTCTGCAACCTTTACAATCAAAAGAGCCATTTCTGCTCCTTGTCTCGCTAATAAAATGTGTTCAGAACCGCAAAACAAGCTACAACTGTGATTATCAACTGGTGGTCTATGGGCCTTTTCAAGGTCTTTTCGGGAACTTTTATGGTCAGTGGAGGTGACATAATAAAACTAAAAAAATTGTTATCATTATTTATTATACACATCAGGACAAATAAAAAGACCATATTCATTTAAACAAGAAAAATACTGTATATAGTTTATACCTAATTTCATAAAAACTAATACAACTGAATTATTCAGGCATATTTTTCCCCAATTCTTATTCTTATGTAGTCTTCAAATTATTTAAAGGTAACTGATGGATTTGAGAGAAAGATCATAGAAGTAAAATGGAATATTTAAGTAAAACACAGGCTAACATGAGCTAAACATGTTTTACTTTTTGTATTAGTAGTATCTGTTACATATTTGCATACACATTGTTCCTGTTGTGGGTAAAAAAAATATTATTTTATGTTCGGTCACATTGTCAAAGAGTCACTACAGAGGGACCAAAGAGYCACATGTGGCCCCAGAGCCACAGGTTGCAGACCCCTGCTATAGAGGATTTTCTTACAATTTTTTTTCTAACATTCTTGATATTTCCCACGTAGTGAGGATCTGTGGTATGGTTACAACCAATTATTACCTGGTGGAGGTTTTGAACTCTCTCAGTTTGACGAAACGGAGCTTAAGTCCAGGACTAATAAGCTGTACTAAGTCCAATGTGGACTCTTAAAACTTAATTTGCCAAATTTCATAGCAGTTCATGTCAATGCTATTTCATAAACTTTTACATTGTTGTCATTTTCAGAAGACACAAAGATTGTTACAGAAATATGACATTCCTGCATGTAGTTCAGCAAAATATCCTTTTTTTCTACACTTTTGCTGTTGTAACAGAACCATAACCTCATTATAAACATGTTTACACAT